GAATGTTTACTGAGTCATTTCTCACTGCAGGAAGAGCTCTCTTAGGCACAGGCAGGCATTTTTCCCAGGGTATTCTGGCAGTAAGGGGCTGCCAGCTTGTGCCTGGGAAGAGCCCAGCCACTCACAGGAGCCGTAGTGCAATTGACAAGGCCCAGGAGTGTCAAATATGAGGGGGAGCCAACCACTCAGACCCCAAAACTGAGCCACACTAATTCAGGAAGAAGGGAGAAAAGGTCTCATAACCAAACAGCCAGAGGACCAGTGAGAAAGACTTGGGAGTCTCAGGCACCAGCCGGCGCAAGCTGTGGGAGGCATCTGGAGCTGCATTTGTATCCAGGCAGGAGAGCATTTGGGGGAAGCCAGGGAGCCTCGGCGTGCTGGTCCCTTTCCCTCCACAATGTTGCTGGCTCCATGATTCCAAATTAGAACCACATCCGAGGAACTGGAAACTGGGGCAGGGGACTGCTGGGATTGGGAGGGCTACCCTGAGAGATGAAAGAGAAAGCCCTGAACAGTGGCTGGATGGTCATAGGAAGTGCGTCTGAATGAAGCAGCTGTTTCTGGATCAGGCTGGTTCAAAGAGGAAAGGGACTTCCCAGGAAAGCCTGTCCCCAGAGTGCCGAGCACTGAAAGGGGTTCCACATGTCCCTGAGGACCTGCTGCCTGGGAGTGAATCTTTGATTCTGTGACTGGGAAAAACTGGCTGAGACAAGACCAGCTTTGTGTGGGGGCTTCAGGACTGGGCCTTCTGGTGTGCCCCATGGCTCTGGAGTCCAGATGGCTGGGAGACCCTGCAGGATCTGGAACAGAGGCTATTTGGGGGAGACAGAGGCAATTTGGGGGAGGTGGGCTGATTCACTGTATGGTAGCCTAGCGGTGCCTTTCCTTAGACACACCAGCCCAAACTGGTTCTCCTTCCTGCCAGAGGGCCCTCCTGAAGCCTGGAGCAGTTGGCAGCTGATGATGTTCAGTGCCAGACAGGAAAGTAGAGTGTACAGCATACAAGGCACAGGATGGGGCTGCCTGCTGCTCCCCAGCCTCCACCCCTGGGTAACAGGCCTCTGCTCTGTTGATGATTGTCAGTGAAGATTTTCTGACAAGGCTGTAAATCACCAGCACATGTTTGCTGTTAGGCAGCATGTGTTTGTTTGGAGTTAAGCAAGTGAAGCTTCCAGAAGCTGAAAGCAGTCTCCTGGAGAGACCCACTCTCTGTGTCAGCACATCCGTGCAGTTCCTTTCAGTGGCCACTGGCCCAGGTGCCCTTGTCTCCCACACGGAGGCAGGGCTGCATCCCTTTACCTCTGCACATGCCCAGCTCACATGACGCAGGCATTCATGGCACAGGATCCATTCAGGGCTGACCAAGAAGTATAAGTTCCTGGCTTCAAAGAGTGCTCTCAAAAGTGGCCATGAGAGGTGGAGGAAAGAAGCTGCGGCAGTGCTGGCTCTCAGCCTGTGGAAGTCAGGGCTGGGAATAGTTCCAGAGCTCAATGTGGACAAGGGCCATAGGGGCTAGTGCAGAGCCTGCTCTGGGATCATGTCCCACCAGGCTGGGCATTTCCAAGCACAGTCCCAGGCTGCCATGACCAGAGCGTCTCTAGCCTCAGAAATACAGGATTCGGTCAGTTCTTTTCAACAACATTTATGGAGCATGTGCCTGGAGTGGTTTGAGGCTCTGGGTAGGGCAGGAGAAGATGCCTAAGTTATGTTCACTGGAGTTCATGCACTAGAAGAGAGAATGTTACTGCATGACACCAGTACTCCATGGCGGGAAAATGGGGCTAAAGGGCCACAGACCTAGTACATCTCTATTCTTGAGAGGCCCAGAGGAGGCAGGGGGAGAACAGGCCAGAGAAAGCTTCCAGAAAATTAATTTTGGAGCTGAGTCTAGAAGAATAAGTAGCAATAGCCAGGTGAATAGGACTCCTTTCTCTGATAATGGTAACCTAGGAAATTTGGATCAGTCCCCCTCCTGGGGACTAAAATATTGAGTGTTTTTGTTCATAATACTACTGACACCAAATGCGTTAGGGAGTTTTCCACACCAAGCAGTTCTCCAATTCTCTGTAGACACTAACTAGATGTCCTACAGTTCAACTCAATTCTGACACTCACTACCCAGAGTTAGCTTCAGACTGCACAGGTTTAAGGGCTCAGTCCCACCAGACTGCCCTCGCTTCAGTCACAGGTGTCAGGTCCCAGGTTTACCCACACTTCTGTCCAACATAGCTACAAAGTCAGGGGAGTCCCACAACCCCTCCTCTGTTTCAGGTTTGATAATTTGCTGGAACAATGCACAGAACTCAGGAGAGCATTTGCTTACAATTACCAGTTTATTATAAAGGACACAACTCAGAGACAGCCTGAGGGTCATGTACAGGGCAAGGTATGAGTTGAGGGACTGCTTTGGGCATATCACCCTTCCACACCTCAGTGTGGGCTGAAGCTCTGAACCCCATGACTTAAGGGTTTTTGTGGGTTTCACTATGCAGCTGTGACTGATAAGTCATTGATCATTGGTGATCAGCTCACTCTCCACTCCCTCCCCAGAGGTCAAGGGTAGAGATGAAAGTTCCAACCCTGTGATCATGCCTCGGTCTTTCTGGTGACCAGCCCCCATCCTGATGCCATCTAGGGGCTCCCAGCCAGCAGTTATCTCACTTATCATACAAAGGACACTCATAACTCTGGAGATCCCAAGGGTTTCAGAAGCTGTGGTCTAGAAACCAAGGACAAAAATCAAATAACTGTTTCCCATTGTACCACAAATATCAAGAAGGAAAAAAATACTTGTAATTGTCTTAATAACACTGGAGAGCAAGGCAATGAGGAATTACCAGACCAAAACTTAGGGGAAGGTCAGAACTCAGAAAGATAAGCTCAGCACTCAAAGCTGAGGTCACTTGTTGATCCTAAAGAAACTCAGCAGCATCAAAAGACAAGGGAGAAAGAAGGCACCAGGGCAGGTCTGATACCTCTAGCAAAATATACTAAGCTGGGACCCCAGAAGACAATGCCCTCAAGGTAAAGGTGAGCCAGAAGTAATCCAGCCCTCAAGTGGTCTTGCATGGATTGTATAGCCACCTTTATAGTCCAGGGAACCTCAAGTCTTAGACTTAAGCAAAGATGGTCCAGAATTGTTAGTGCCTGAGTGGCTGACAGAAACAAATGAAAATACTCCCTGGAAGCAAGTATCTTCATCTTAGCTCTGAAGTTTTTCCAAAAATTAATTTGCAAATATAAGACCAATCCAAAATATAAAATAACCATGCACACACAAATCACAATGAGAGACTAGTAGACTAGAAAATGACTCATAAAGACTTCAGCCAAAGTAATTATTAGATACAGATACTATCAAAAAAGTACATTTTAAGAAATATGGTAAATAACTTTAGGGAAGAAGCTATAAAAATGACATTATAGATTTGAAAAACAACCAAATGGGATTTTTCAAACTTAAAAATACAATAGCAATAGCCAAAGCAATCCTGAGAAGGAAGAATAAAGCTGTGGGGATCTCGCTTCCCAACTTCAAGCTCTACTACAAAGCCACAGTAATTAAGACAATTTGGTACTGGCACAAGGACAGACCTACAGACCAGTGGAACAGAATAGAGAGTCCAGATATTAACCCAAATATATATGGTCAATGAATATATGATAAAGGATCCATGGACATACAATGGGGAAATGACAACCTCTTCAACAGCTGGTGTTGGCAAAACTGGACAGCTACATGTAAGAGAATGAAACTGGATCACTGTCTTACCCCATACACAAAAGTAAATTCTAAATGGGTCAAAGACCTGAATGTAAGTCATGAAACCATAAAACTCTTAGAAAAAAACATAGGCAAAAATCTCTTGGACATAAACAGGAACAACTTCTTCATGAACATATCTCCAGGGTCAAGGGAAACAAAAGCAAAAATGATCAAGTGGGACTATATCAAGCTGAAAAGCTTCTGTACAGCAAAGGACACCA